ATCTGAGGCTAAAATGAAGAGTTTTGGATGAATTTAATTAGCAGAGGAAATCCCAAAACAGCGTATTATAGACTCTGTCATGTAGTTATTGGTGGTAACTCTAACAAAGGTTTATAATGAAAAAGAGCAAGCTAGGCAAGGTAAATTTTACAATGTAAAAGAAGCACCTGGAAGTGAAATGGAACTAACTCCTGTGTTCAAAGAGATAAATAGATTAAGAAAATGGACTAAAGGGAGCAGAGACCTCAGGGCAAGATCCCACCCAACTAAATTTCCAATTTGTGAATGGAATTAAGGAAGAGTTTAGAGCAGGGCATGCTGGTATATGCTTTTAATACCAACACTGGGAAAGAAGAGGCTAAAAGAGCTCTGAACAGTCTATAGAGCAAGTTCAAGGACAGCCAAGCTTAGGCAGTGAAATTTACCATAAAAAACCAACAGCTGATGAAGGTGTAATAGAATAAGGGGGTTATGTTTCAGCCCCAGAAAGCAGTAGAACTTACCAGCTATGGTCACATGGTTCTGGCTTTAGAGTTAAGGATAGAAAACAGGGGCTGTGCAATTTGCCTCTGCCTCTAAGGAAAGCTGCTGAGGGCAGGCATGTGTCAGGGTATCACTAAATGGGGGCCTAGAGAGGCCATTGAGTGAAGCTTTGAAGTTGAAGCCTGGACTGCCTTGGAGGCCCCAAGATATTGAAGATGCCAGAGCAATGGGATGCCTGCTGTGGAATGCTAATAGGGAGTAGAACCAGCCCAAGACAAAAAGTGTGTTGCAGTCAACAAAGCTGGAAGGAGTTGGAGAACTGAAGAGCTTTTTAACATAAGACATGGAGATGCAGAGTGTGGAGTTTACCCAGCTGGTTTTCAGTCTTGCTTTGACCAAGTATTTCCTCACTATCCTCTTTTGCCAATGTTTGGCAATGGTAACATACATTATGTGCCATTATATCTTGGAAGTAGGTGATCTGTTTTTTTTTTTTATTTTGATTTTTATAGGGGGTTATAATCTAGAGATTGCATGAATCTCAGAAAAGACATGGAACTTTAGACTTTGAAATAAGTTTGAGGCGATTCTATGAGACTACGGGGACGTTTGAAGTTGGACTGAACGCATTTGCATTCTGATATGGCTGCAAGACTTTGGGGGCCTGGTAATGGAATGGGGTGGCTTGAAGGAAAATGGGAGTGTCACTCCATTTTGAGTGGCACTTTTAGGAGGGATTCCTACTCTCACAATGTTGCCCGTGTCTTATTTTGTCACCCACCTCTGTTCCCAGACAATTGGACTACAGGACTCTGAGCTTGTACTTTCTATGTCACATAATTTTGTTTGATTTTTTTTCTTGGAATTAATTTCTCTAAAACAGACTCTAATTCAAGTACCTCTTCTTTCCCCCATCCCCAGAATTGCATGTGTGGCCTTTGTTAGCTTCTCCCTTGTTACCTTGTCCCCCTTTCCTTCTCACTATTCTACTCAAGCATCTAGCTAGTCTTCCTTACCAAGCTAAGTTCTCCTGGCTATATATGACAGTCTTTACTACATTTTGGCCCTTGCATCCATGCCTGTCGGCCCTGCTAGACAGATTATGGGCTGTGTGGACTACAAGGCTGGGGGATGAGTTGGGAGGGATGAGAGTAGCAATGTCCAAGCAGTTCAAGCTTGGAAGCATATTGAATAGACAAGGGAGGCTGAGCAGGACACACAGAGTAATAAGGCTGTCTGAGAAGGGAGGTTGGGATGGTGGCAGAAACGACTGAGGATATGGTCCTGGCTCCTTAAAGGCATCAGCATCCCCTGGGGATATACCAGATGTACCAACTGTTACCTACCCAGCAGCCCAAGCCTGTAATCCTACCTTCCAGGGGGCTGAGATCATTACCTACCAGGGAAGCAGAGTGAGTTCAAGGGCATCCTAAACAGTATAATGAGGCCTTGTCTACAAATAAGAAGTAAACAGAGGCCTAGCTCATTGAAGTGGTTGCATAACTTGTGCAGTGGCCTAAGATCAATCCCCAGTGCTGCAAAATGAATGACTCAAACAGAATGTCAGCCCCAGTCTAGACCATGGATCAGAAACCATGGGGAAGGGTCCCAGGAGGTCCCAGCCCAGAGAATCTCCAGGTTATTCCAATGCACAGCAAACTTTGAAAACCAGCCAAGCAAACAAATTGCTTAAAATCATTGGTAGGTAAACAATGACCTGGTGCAAAATGCATAGCTGGCTGGTGAAATTAGAAGCACTGGAGCTGTCGAACCAGACTTATGGGCTTAGAGTCCTGTTCTGAAGTTGAATGGACAAGAGTTCTGAGACTCATGAAACGACATTGGGTTCCCATCCTCCCATGAGTATTTACCTGGCTCTCGAAAAGTTTCATATGCCTTAGAATCTCTGGAGTGATTTTTTGGGAAAAATACAGTTTTAACTTCTTACTTCAGAGAATTTTGTAGACTGGATAACAGGACCATGCCAATCTGAGTGTACTGTGTTGTCACATGACACCATGGTATTATTCAGGCTAGGGCTGCTGCCAAGGGCCATGTCTGGACCTATGGCACTACAGCAGCCAGGGTCTGAGTCGTTGTCTATGGCTCTTGTTACCACTGAGGGCCGTGCAAATTCCCTGGGGTCTGGTCAACCACTTGAGAACATTTTGATGTCTTAGGGCCATGTTGCCACTGGCGCCATACTTACCAGGGTGGTCTGTGCTAACACTGAGGATGCTCTGCTGATGTCTAGTCCCAAGCTAATGCTGAGGACTATGTCAGGGTCCATGGTACTGCTGATGCTGAGATCTGTATTAATGTCCATGCCACATTTTACCAAGAGGGTCATAGGAATCATGTATGTTGAAATCAGAGGGCTGTGCTGAGCCAGCTCTGCCCCTCACTGGCCCTGGGATAGCTGGCCCCTGCCCTGGCCAGACATAGCAGCAGGATAGCTAGCTCTGCCACTCATGGGAGAGCTACCCAACCCACTGCAAGATGGCCCCGCCACATACCACAGGTGTGGGAGATCTGGCTCTGATTGCACCGACCTTGAGGGGGCCACTCCCAGTGGCCTAGACCTACCAGCTCAGCTACCATCCAGACCCAAATCCTGGACCTTGGGTTGGCTCAGGCTAACATCTACACCATCTATGACCTGCTAGAGCATCTGAAGGGACTGGTCCTGCAGAATAATAGCCATGGGATCACCATGACTGGGGCAACAGCAGGATATCTAAGGGGAGTTTTGGTGAGGGTCCAGGGATGATGGAATGCCAGAGGCCTTGAACCAGACCAATAACACATTGCAATGAGCACTTTTCCGGTGGGGCAGATTGGACAAAAGGGTATACTGTATGACGCAACACAGCTCCCAATGCTGTTAGGATAAATGAAAAGATTTTGGAAACATAGAAGAGCACAGTGGGGTTTTTTGTTTGTTTTGTTTTCATTTTTGGTAGTGATTTTTGGGGGACAGATGCTGCAGTGGTGAGGGGCAGATATGAAGGGACTGTGAAATGAGTAGGACTGGAGTGCATGATGTCAAATTCCCAATGCATCAATAAAGAATTATGTTAATTTTCTTTTTTTTTTTTTTTTTTTGGTTTTTCGAGACAGGGTTTCTCTGTGTAGCTTTGGAGCCTATCCTGGCACTCACTCTGGAGACCAGGCTGGCCTCGAACTCACAGAGATCCGCTTGCCTCTGCCTCCCAAGTGCTGGGATTAAAGGCCTTCACCACCAACGCCCAGCGAATTACTTATTTTTAAAAATCTACATTTCATATGGGGCCTCTTGTAGTAGATCAGTACTTATCCCTAGTGTAGGGATCCCATTTGTCATAGAGGGATACTCCCTCACATAGAGGGACACACAGGGGAGGGCCTAGGCCCTATCCCAAAGGATATGACAGACTCTTAAGACCCCCTATGGAAGGCCTCACCCTCCCTGGGGAGCAGATAGGGTTTGAGATAAGTAGGGTATTAGTTGGGGGGGGGCAGGGGAGGTGGGGAGTGAGAGAGAATGGGGATTGACATGTAAAACAATCTTGTTTCTAATTTAAATTAAAAAAAATTAAAAAACCTACATCTAAAATAAGCCCAAAATGTTGCTGATATTGGCAGTTCAAGGGTCACTCTCACAGTCCTGATGTGAAGGGCTTACTATAATGGCATTCATGTGCTAGACACTGGATCAGTGTGTGGGTGGGTGGGTGGATGGGTGGGTGTGTGAGTATGGGAGCACATATATGTATATGTTACAAACATATCATATATGACATGTAATATTTAATGTTTTTAACCAAAGATAGAAACCAACATAGCTGTTTATTGTCACTAATTCACCAAAGTGTGAATTAGTGAGCTGAGTATTTAGCACTGTAAACTCACATTTTGCCTCAATAGTTTCCTATAAAGGCAAGAATATTAAGGCACCAGAGTAAGATGCACACCAGAGAAGCTTCAGTCGATGTCCTTCAAAGGGGCTTCAGGAATCAGCCCAGGACCCTGCAAGCTGCTCTCTAGTCTCCTGAAAGCAAAACAACAAGATGCAAATACAGACATAGTTCATAAGAGATAAGTCTCATTATCTGTAACAGTGACCTCGTCAGGGGAAGAGTAAAATTGTGAGTTCCAAAAGACATACCTTTTATATGTGAGCTTAGCCTTTTTTGTGCATTTTAGCTTTTTCTTAGCATTTGTCAAAAGTATTGGAAATTCATTCAATCCACCATGCTGTTTAGAAAGTGGATCATGGAAATCTAAGCAGACTGTATCCATTAACATTAATGAAATTAAATTCCTGCCATACTGACACACACACACACACACACACACACACACACACACACACACAGCCCAAATGCTATTTCAGAAACAGAATTCCAGTTACCTACATACAATTGAAATGGCATAATTAACTGATGTGACATCTAGATGAATGTGAATCGATGCTCTTCCAGAATTGAACATATATTTTTCTCATGGCATTTCTTCTGTCTTCTGTTGGGTTCCAGGCACAGCACTTGTTGTCCAGTGGGACCATGTGCACCTGCAGGATAATTATAACCTTGGAAGCTTCACATTCCAGGCAACACTCCTCATGGATGGACGGATCATCTTTGGCTACAAAGAAGTAAGTGACAAGTTGAAGATGTTTCTTCCCATTGACCATGACCTTTCCTTTAATGTCAAGATATTGTAGTCATGGACTTCAAATCATTTTCTTACTTATTGATTTCTTTTGCTGAATAACGAACCCTTTTCTAAAATCTTTTTTTGCCAAGGGCTTCAGGTTAAAATTTGGTTTTCTCATTTATTTAGTTTTGTATTCTGATATCATTGGCATTATAACCCAAAAATTATGAAATTATTGACTATTTATAATATTATAAGAAATCTAAGAATAGATGCTTACTTCTAAAGGATTTTTCATCTCTCTATAATTATTTATATCTTTTGGTTTGGTGGGGACTGGCTTGTTGATTTCTCTGATCCCCAAATATTAGTTGACATGAAAATGGGTGTTTTAGTATTAAGAGTTTCAGGAAACTAACCCTTATAATTTTTCCAGCTAATGTTCATTAAAACATGATAGATTTAGATTTAAGTAGAGTTAAAATTATTGGGACCATACCAACTGAACATGAGAGCTTAAATTATATCTTGTTTCATATTAACAAACTGAAAAATGAAATTTACTAAATTCTAGCCTTAAGCTCTGCAGAATGTTTAGACTAGAATAATAATGCATTTAATTCCAAACTCTGCTGACAGTGTACTGGAGGTCTGCTAGATGAATAATATACAAATAAAGTAACAAGAATAGCAGATCTAATTTTTAAGGCAGTTTGTAGTTACAAGAGTAATTCTGACAATGTAAATTATTAGTAGGCATGGTTAACATGTAGTTAATGGGTGATTGTAATACATATCCATTCACTGTGGTCTTCTCTTCTGAAATCTATCTATACCATAATGTGAATAACATAAAACTTAAACTAATTGCAACAAGTTTTAAGAAGCTACCAACTTTGTTGGTGATTTTCATTCTTTGGAAAAGATTCTTCCACATTGAATTTTATTTCCTTGGGGCACTCTGCAGATGGAGAATGATATGGGTTGTGTCCTGATCTAAATCGCTTTATCCAGTGCTAGGTTTAGATATCATTGCCCACTGCTTTCTTATGCCACCTTCCCTGGAAGTTAGGAATAGTTCTCTGACAATAGATCTTAGCAGCCTCAGTCATATTGAGGTTTGTTGTACCCTAAGGGATTTGCTGAAATGTTAGTGGAACATCTAAGAATGGTAGTTTTCAATTATCATGGTTGTTTTAACTGTTTCTGGAAAGATCTGTGTCAGTAAGTCTAATGCTTTCCATCTTCCCCACTGTCAACCATGTCAAAACAGATACTTGCCTTCTAATTCTAGTGTCACTCTCTAGTGGCTATGATCAAAATCTCCATCTTTATCTACACTATTCTGAAGGACTGTCTCACTTTGCAAAGTTCAAGCAAATTCTTCTGTTTCCTCTCTGTTCTCAGTTGGCATTTCATAATATTTTCATATTTGTCCATTTTTTTCAAAGAAATTTCTCATTGTGGTTTTCCTGCTTTGTCATGGGGACTTTTAAGATGATAATCAGTTCAATGTCACCTCACTTCCTGGACTGGGGCAACATGTCTCTACTCTGGCCTATGAATTCACAGAAGTCCTTTGCTTGTAGGTATTTGACCTTGTACCCTTTTTTCAGAGAGCAGTTTCTTTCCTTTTATTTCTGATAATTGCCACACATATCTCTGTGTAAAATGTATTGCTAAAAGGGATGTAGCTCAATGCTAGAATGTCTTAGGGTCCATCCCCAGAAACACAAGAAAAAATGTTTCTGAATTTCTTTTTGTAATATTTTCCAAAATAAGAGTCCCTTTGCAGAGCTGGGGAGATAGCTTAACTGGTGCAGTTCTTACTGTGCCAATACAAGGATCTGAGTTTGATTCACTAGAACCTGTGTTAAAACAAAGAGGATGTGGTGATACATACTTGTGATTTTAAGACTGAGGAGGCAGAGACAGGCAAATTCCTAGGCTCACCAGCCAACCAGACTAACCTACCTGGCAAGCTGTGGGCCAGACAAAGACCTTCTCTTAGAAAAATGAGGTGAATTATCCCCCCAAAATAATATCTGCCTACTATCTCTGACTTACACACACACACACACACACACACACACACACACACACAACACACACACACCCACACCCACACACACACACACACACACACACACACACACACACACACACACACACACGTGAATCTACATGCAAACTCCCTGTGAATTTGAGTTAACAACTAGATGTTCCATGCACTTCAAGAAAAATGTTTATTACCATATGACAGCAAAGCATAGTACTTTGCAAAGCTTATCATCCTTTACACATGTGGTATCCAGCTGTTCAACAATCACCGGATGCTATATAACTTCATTGTTTCATCAAAGCACCAACACAGAGAAGGTAAGCAATGAATGCTTGTGGATTGATTATGAAACTGTGTCATACATGATTACTTATGGTAAACCTATCTGAATTAGAAAACAATTGATGTGCTTAAGACCCACAATTAAATAAAGTATAATCTAGCATTAAATCTCTTTGTTTGGAGCTCCTAGCCTCTTTATATTTTTATTTTACAAGGAGACTATGAATAACAACTCATAAACCAACTTATTTGTGTTTTCAATAAATTCTTGTTGATATTTTCTGTTAATCATCCTTTTAATTGAGCTCTCCCACTTTGTACAAATAGAAGCATAATCAGAAGAGCTATTCCAGTTAGTCTGTAAAGTCATAATTGAAACAATGTACATTATAAATAATAACAGTCTATCCAGAATTGAGAACTAAAATTGTAAAGAGGGAAATTACCTGTGTCCTGACTTGCTCTTTACAAGCTGACAATTTTGTTTGATCAGGTTGTTTGGAGTATTGTTATTTTGCAAGTTAAAACTAATAATGCAGTTCATGTCTTAAATTTCATTTTCATTGCTCTCATGATTATATAAGTTTCCTTTAGTGAACATTGGCATACCCATCACCCATACCAACCCTCAAATGATCTCCAGTTCTTTCAAGCTTCCAAAATATTCATTTCCAACATCATTAATTTTTCACAGTTCTGAGTAGATTAGGATTGATCTATAGATTAGAAAATCCATTTCCACTTCCATAATAATTTTGCTTCTCATAGGATTGCATTAGGGAGTTGCTGCTGCTCTTGAAACTGGATGGATATGGATTTGCTCATAGCTCTCACTATTTCTTCGGCAGTGTCCATTTGTTCTCTTCAGCTGTACCATGAGAGTTGATATGATTGGCTCATTAACATTGTTATTCTCAACTGTCTTTTCTGGTTGGCCATTTTCACCGTATCACCCACATAGAGAAATAGGTAAAGGGAGTTTGTCTTCTTACAAATTTTATCGCATTATTCACTACTATTTTTCAGTGAGAGAACCTGTATGTAAATTAAGTACATCCCTTCTTAGATGACATAAAGTTGGAAAAATCAAATATCTATTTCTTTTTCTGATAATAACTACCTATGACCCTAAGTCCCAAAAGTTTTACATTATTCTCAGTAGCTACTTAGAAGGGAGGATTGCTTTATTACAACTGGCATGGACTGCAGTTTGCGGTCTTTTGTTAATCTAAGAAAGAATTACTTCCTTTAAAAGGTGTGTTATCTCAAAAGTGTAGTTTTGAAGTCTGATATCTCAGCTGGTGATGCTGCCTCTGCCATTATACCAATTTAGCTTAAAAGATCCACTCCCTCTCACATGCTTCATCTCTCTGGAGTTGAAAATGTGTTTTGCTGGTACCCTAGGCATAAACTAGAAAAGGGAGTGATCCTTTGTTATGAATTATAGACTTGATCATTTCTATTTGGTATATTTATATAAGGGACAGTTACGGTCATTGGGTTATTATAATTTAAATGTACAGGGGCATCACAGATAACAATTACCCCCATAGCCTAGGAAGCAGCCTATCACACCAATTTCCTCCAACAGCAAATCTTAGAGGAGGGTCACTATGGAGAAATGTGGCTATTTATTAAGTGAAATCACATTCAATCTAACCTACCATTGAAGAATTTAAAATTGATATTCCACAGTGCGGCCTTAACTACTTCTTTGGTAGAGAGCATAGTTAATAAATCACCAAGGCCATCCAATTGTGGGTTTCACTGGATCTCTTAAGCACTTAATTTTTTTCTTTGAGGACTATTCCTTTTAGTTTAGCTATAATGAACTTCATGCATGGTTATAGCCTGGAAATCTTAAGGGTGAGCAGTTGTTGAATTGTAGAATTTATGAGGAAAAGATAAATGAGCCAAACAGAACTCAATAGTGAGATTGTTATCATTTATGTTTAGAGTAAGTATCTTCTATGTTGGTTGCTATGTCATGTTGGTTGCTATGTCAATAAGAATGTTTGACCTGAGTAAATATATCTATTATATAATATATGCATATATATGACTAGAAAACTTTATAAATATCTAAGTAGAAAAGTGATATATGAATATATTTTATGTAAGATAAATATATATACATGTGATATTATATATGTTGTATATATACACACACATATATATTTATATATGGTTTGTTTGTGTGTATAGACATAGATCAATGTTTGAAAAACCAGGAAGGAAAAAATGCTGATGAAAACTTTGTCAAGAAATACTTATAAGGAAAATGTTGACACAGATGATTCTCTGAAGTTTAAATATATGCAAATTGTAATTTCCATTGCTGTGTTAAGATCCTATCTTTCATATGTTGGAATATATATATTTTAATTATCCATATGGAAAATCCCATAATGTTTTAACTTTCTATTTCCTCTCCAAATGTAAAAATGTGCTAAATTGAACAGCTCTCCCTTGATTGTCTTCTGTGTGTGTGGGTGCGTGCATGCGTGCGTGCGTGCGTGCGTGCATGTGTGTGTGCATGCATGCCTATGTACACATGTATGTGTGCTTGCTTTGTTTATTTTTGCCTTCCTTTTAATGTTTTATGATGGAGCGGTGTGGGGGGAGAGTTACTTTTTCTTGCCAGTTAGCAATCC